CTGTGTATGTGGAACAGCATAGGTCCTCGTTCACTGAGCAGCCGCTTCAGGCTTCTGCTGGCTTCCCCACCGTGGCGGACTGCACGGACCTTTCACTGTGAGCTGACATCAGCCCTTCCTCCCTTAAGTCGCTTTTGCCAGAGTGTTTTATCACATCAAGAGGAAAAGAAGCCAGCCATGGAGACAGAGCAAGGAGGATCTCTGAGTTCAAGGCCAGCCTGCTTTACATAGTCACAGCATACACACGGAGACCAGAGGACAGCACAGTAGAGTCAGCTTGCCCCTTCTAAAAGGTCTTGTTTTTATTAACGATTTTAGATTTCCCAGCAGGCAAAAAAAATGTCATTTGGATCAATGGGCGGAAGAGTTTTCAAAAGGCGAATACACACGTTGAAGGCCCAACAATTGATGTGACAGTGTCCGAGTCGGGAAGGAAGGAGGCCATGGAGTTTAGACAACACCGTGAAGACCTCAGTCTCCTCAAAACAGAAAGAGATCACAGCCTGCCTCCATCACTGCCATAAGGAGATGGGATGAGGGCCTCACCAAGAACCGCTGGGCAAGACCCTGGTCCAACAACTAAGAAATGAATGTCCGTTCCTTGAGCCACCTAATTTTAGGTGTTTTGTTTACAATGGCCTGATCTAACAAACCCTCTATCCGATGGTGATTTTAAACTTTCAGTATTTATAGACTCTTAAGACTTTTTTTTTAAGACTCCTTTGCTAAGATTAAATAGATAAATGTTTCTAGTCCAGAGCTCGAGAGATACTCAGTGGCTAAGGAAGGAATAACCATATTGCTGAGGACCCAAGTTCAGACTCCAGCGCCCACACCAGGTGGCTCAAACCACCTGGAACTCCAGCTGCAGGTGACCTAAGGCCTCTCGCCTCCTCAAGCACCCGCACTTGTGCCCACACCCACACACAGGTACGCACACATACACACAATTTTAAAACATAAGAAGTCTTTTTTAAAAGTATCTAGCCCAAATTGGGAATTCATGTGATTATTATTGTGCTGTTATTGGCTGTTTTGTTATTTTTTAGATAGATAGTCTTTGTTCATTTGTTCATTTTTTTAATTTGTTTATTGCTTTTAATGATCTATTTATTTACTTGTACTTTATGTGCTTGGTGTTTTGTCTGCAAGTATGTCTGTGGGACGATGTCAATTCTCCTGGAGCTGGAGTTACAGACAGTTGTGAGCTGTCACGTGTGTGCTGAACATTGAACCCGGGTCCTCTAGAAGAGCAGACAGTGCTCTTAACCACTGAGCCAGCTCTCCAGCCTGCCTTCCTTCCTTCTTTCATTTATTTATTTTTGTTTTTTTTTTTTGAGACAGGGTTTCTCTGTGTAATGATCCTGGCTATCCTGGAGCTCACTCTGTAGACCGGGCTGGCCTCAAACTCACAGAAATCCACCTGCCTCTGCTTCTCAAGTGCTGGGATTAAAGGCATGTACTACTACCGCCCAGCTACTTATTTTTTAAACAAATTTTCTCTATGTAGCTCTGGCTAGCCTAGAACTTTCTCTGGAGAACAGGTCGGCCTCAAACTCACAGAGATCCACCTGCCTCTGAACACAGGATTAAACACACCGGCTTAGACAGTCTTACACTGTGACCCTGGTGGCACATACCATGGGTTCAGTCACCAGCACCACTTAAAACCATACAACATGGTAGTTAATACAGGCTCAAGTGAGAGATTCACAAGTTCAAGACCAACTGGGGTTAACAGTGAGTGTCAGGCCAGCCTGGGCTCTATAGTGAGACACTGTCTCAAACAAACAAACCACTAAAACAAAACATACAACACAAAACAAAAAAATCCAAAACCTAATTTCTTTTCTTTCTTCTTTCTTCTTTTTCTTTTTTTTTTGAGGGTCTCTCTACCTATCCCTGGCTGTCCTGGAACTCACTATGTGGACCAAGCTACAGTGAACTCACAGAGATCCCCCTGTCTCGGCGTGCCACCACACTGGCCCAGGGCTAACCTCAGTAGATGAAATAATGGCGGTGCCTCACCCGTGCGATGCTAACTGAAGCCATGCTACCTGACTGAGTCAGCTGGGTGTGCATGTGCGTGTGCGTGTGCATGCCTACCTCCTCCTCTTCGGCCAGCTGGGACTCCCGAAGAGCAGTTGGGAACGCCCGAGGGGTAAAGCTGATCTGAATACTGCCAGCAGAGCGCGGTGCGGGAATGCCATCTTCCTTTACCTTCTCAGAAAATATGTTCTCCCAATTCCTCCCTTCAAAAGCAATGGCAATGAATAAGTAATTTATTTCCCTTTTCTAACTAACAAATTGACTTTTAGGATAACTATACCCCAAAGCTAATTCTAAAATTAATAACAAATAAACAAATAACATAACAAGTAAAAACAAATAATACAAATTCATAGGTAAACGACAAAACCCGGCAAAGACAGGGCCAGTGAGCCAGGTCAGCAGGTAAAGCTCCTGCTGGACAAGCATGGCCACTGGACCACAGAGAAGCAGAGGGAGCTGGGCGGCCTTTCAGACCAGCACTCGGGCAGAAGCAGGCTCATCCCTGTGAGCTCAAGGCCAGACTGTTCTACATAGAGTTCCAGGCTACCCAGGGTTAGTGAAGGCATCAAAAAAAAAAATAAAAAATAAAAATAAAAATAAAATAAAAACTAAAAAAAAAAATGAGGTTCAGAACCAACTCTACCGAGTTGTCCTCTCACCTCCACATGAGCACTGTGGCACACCCCATCCCCACATGTCATCCCCACATAATAATTACAAAAATAAAAATACACCAAAGGTGTTTTCTGCAACAAGGAGTAGAATCCTCAGCATTAACATGGCCATTAGTCTGTTCTGTAACTAATGACCCACTACTCTTCTGGGGTTCACGGCCGAGCCTCTGTCTAGTTCGTATCCACTCTGGGGGAGGCAGGCACACTAGGCAGAGTCATCTCTGGCCCGCCTCCTCCCGTTCCTACACCCCACAGCGGTGTCTCCACACACCTCCTGAATGGTGAGGAAGTGAGAAAGCGGCCACAGGCTACCAAAGGCCGCCGTTCTCATAAGGTGCTCCGCAGATGTGGTGACAGCCAAGTCCCCGTGAGAGGAGGAACTAAGCCATGTGCTGGGACATCGTCCACAGACACAGGGAAGACAGCTGTTACCTAGAAACACTGAAACACCTATGGAGGACACACAGACTTAGGCAAACACTGAAACAGGTGGGACAATGATTTCAAGAAGAAAAGACTCCAACCAATATACGTGAGAGAAAAACGAGTACATATAAGTAAGGAGAGGTGGGGCTAGAGAGATGGCTCAGTGGTTAAGAGCACTGGCTGCTCTTCCAGAGGACCCGGGTTCACTTCCCAGCACCCACATGGTGGCTCACAGCCATCTGTAACTCCAGTTCCAGGGGGTCCAACATCCTCACACAGACATACGTGCAGGCAAAACACCAATGTACATAAAATAACAACACACAAATCATTAAAAGCAATAAAAAGGCTGTTAAACAGAGAACCCCTGTCTTGAAAAACAAAACAAACAAAAAACCCAAACAGAAAAAAGAAAAGATAGGGACATTTTCAGCCATGCAGGGCATTCAGGACAACTTAGACTACATAAAATGCTGTCTCAATTTAAAAAAATGTGTGTGTGTGTGTGTGTGTGTGTGTGTGTGTGTGTGTGTGTGTGTGTGTATTGAATTTAGTTCAGGGTCTACAAGCTTGCACAAGGCCCTGGACTTGGTCCCCAGCAGTGAGGGGAAAAATAAGTGGCGTGTGCCTAAAATTTCAGCAATAGAGAAGTGGAGGCAGGAGGATCAGAAGTTCAAGGTCACCCTCAGCTATGTAGCAAGTTTGAGGCTAGCCTGGGCTACAGGAGCTCCTGCCTCCAAACAAAGGAAAGCGAGGGTAAATGAGTGGTCTGTCCTTCTTGTCCTCTGATTCCACCATTACACTCACTGTGTGGACCCTTTCCGCTGACCCGTCCTTCCACCCGACAGGTTCCCGGGGTCTACGGTGTTGCCTTGTTTTCTGCGGCTCTCTACACTAGGTATTTACGGAATGTACAAAATGACTACCATGTGGAGAGTGCCTGTAATCCAAACATCTGTGGTTGAGGGCAGAGTATCACACAGTCCAGGATGCCCAGGTCTGAACAGCAAAAGCCCTCAGAAAAGATCTTTCATCCTACATCTTCATATTGTATTGCTAATTCTCAATATACCAGAACATGGCCTACACCTGCAAAAAGATTTAAAAGAAGAAGGAGGAGGAAGAGGAGGAGGAGGAGGAGG